TGATGATCGAAAGGCCGGGGGCCTTGGTTTGCTTACCAGCTCAATAACGGGATGCTCCTTAGGCAAAGGCCTGTTTCGCCCCTGAAGACCTGACCTGATCAAAAATTCCAACCATCCCACATTGTAAAAGTCGGACCTTATTTTTGTGCGTGACTTTTATCACTAATGGTATCCTCCATTGTAATTACCTTCCTTCTTATATACCGTCCATTCTTCCGATCGCCAACTTGCATCACGTTATCTACGCAGAAATAAGTGCTAGTACAGTAAACATGTACAACAGTTGTATGGCCAATGTAGTTTACGTGTTCCCTTTGATATTGATCAAGACATCAGTACAGCTTATCATCGGGTAGTGGGTGACAGCAAGGGCCGGTGGCCGAGTGGTCTGCACGTTTGCTTTGCAACCATAAGGTCACCGGTTCGAATCCGCGTATGGGTGGGCGTCCTCGGGGTATACTCAAGCCGCGCGCGACTGGTGGTGGTCGCGTGGCAGCTAGCGCCGTTACGGTGTACAGCTGACACATTATTATTAAGAGAAACTGGTGTCAATGCGCTGAACGAAGAAAAATTTAAGCGGCTTTTGGACCCCCAAGTACGTAAGACATCAAGACCGCGTCGTTTTACTGCGACTGCTCAGACTCCCTAAAGACAACCGGGTCGCGACGGCATTCAGGCTTCCACTACTGAGCTGTAGGCGACGCTGTCGGCGTAGGATCTATCATCCGCCATCTTTAACAGAACAATGAGCAACTGATTCGACAGGTAGGTCACGACAATGTTTATTACCTTTTCGTTCAAACATGAAGACAACTAGTACGTGTGTACGGATATCTCTCCTTTCGGCATCATAGGACAGGGCTGGAATCCAATCGGAAATCACATACTCCAAGATTAGACAACTTAAAAAGCAAGGCAAGAATGCTCAAGCATCAGAGTACATATAGATTACTATTTTAAAAGCCTACTGGAAATTTTAGTTCAGTCTAACTGCAATTTATCGCCAACATAACTGCGCTTGTATTTTCTAAATCGTTGTTACAGCATTACTACGCAGGTGTGTAACGAAGCGAGTTAGGATGTTTGCATGGAAACAATATGGCATCAATTTTGCCCGCGTGTGCACTGGTTTGCCTTTATTTTCTCATTTAAGTGCATTTCCCTATTCTGTACCTTCGATTTCTCTTCCTAACCTTTGCTTACTTCACGTGACTGCTACAGCAGGGACTGCTAGGGCAGGAAACGTGGGCATTAACTGGTTGGCCAGGGTGCGATACGGGTGTTTCCGTTTTAGATCCATCAATAAGTGAGCACTTCATCAATTCCTGGCTCAACGATCCACCAAAGATGGAACACTCACGGGATTTTCCTATCGTTCCAGTCCCCATCTGAACTGAACGGAAAAATTTCACAACCAGCAGACAGCGAAAAACATTTTTGAGAGTCCGAAAATGTCTAGTCTGTACTCATGGGTCCCCCACTCTAATCGGACGCCCGTCGTGCGTTCATCGGACTCTCAGTGGACATTCGTGCCGAAGGGGTCACAAGCGATCGGGTTGACAAAGGATTTCCGCCGGAGTCTTCTAAATCTACGCCAGCTGAAAGGATCCTAGATGATGAAGCGTTTTTAATAAGGATGATTTCACTGTTGTTTGATGAAGGTGAACCGGGGATAAATGTTGTTTCTGCCTTTCGCATTGGCAAGAAGCAGGAGGACTCTACAAAGTCTCGTCCTCTCAAGATCGTATGCCAAAACGAGGATGAATGCAGGCGCATCCTCCGACGCAGTTCACGTCTCAAAGGAGAATCGTTTTATGTTCTGAGAGATCTGTCCCCTGAAGATCGGATAAAAATGAAGAGTGCGATTGGTGAACTTCGAACCCGCCGGGCAAATGGTGAGACAGACCTTCACATTGTGGATTTTCGAGTGGTTCCGAAAACTCCAAGAACTCGCTGGAGACCCATCCTTGTCCTACCCGGACAGTGAGGTCGAAGACCGGTTTGAGTGTGTTGTCCGCTAATGTGCGCAGTTTGCGGAACAAATTGGACGAGATTCAACTCCTTGCCATGGATAATCACCCTGATTTGATGGCTTTCTCTGAGACCTGGCTGTCCCCGAACATCCGTGACTCGGAAGTATATATCCCTGGATATCACTTCTCCCGAGCAGATCGCCACGGAGTGAGGTCAGGCGGGGGCGTTATACTCTATTGGAGGACGAACCTCAAGGCACATTTGCTTGATGCTACTTGTGATATAGATGGTGGCTTCGAAGCTCTGTGGTGTCGTATTCATGACGGGTGTAGATCTCTCCTGGTCTGTGTCGCCTATAGATCTCCCTTGGGTTCGGGAGCTCTTTTACTGGATTCAATTAAATCGCACGCCAAAGGTAAGGACTGCTTAATTGTTGGAGACTTCAATGCACCTGGCATTGACTGGGACCTGCTTTATTGTGGTCTTCCTTTTGACTCTTTTGATGCCCTTCTCCTTCAGACCGTTCTCGATTGTAACTTGTCTCAGCATGTATTTTCACCCACTCGGTTGTTCTCAGGCCAAACGCCGCACATTCTTGATCTAGTGTTATCCCCGATGCCGTCAGATGTCACCGACCTGGTTATTATGCAACCTATTGGTAAGAGCGATCACTGTGCTATTTCCTTCCAATGGGCACGTCGGTTTTCTGTTCATGACCAAGGTGATTTCCGGCGTAATTTCTGGCGAGCCGATCCACAGCGTCTGCAGGAGGCTGCTTCTAACATGGACTGGACCATTCCTCATTTTTTGTGTGTTGACGATGCTTGGACTCACTTTTACTCCAACATGATGTCACTAATCAACCAGGTTGTTCCTATTTCTAAAAGTAGAGGTCTAACAAGAGGTCCTCCTTGGATTGACAAACAGTTGAGGTCTCTGATGAATAAAAGACGCAAACTATGGGATCGATTCAAGTGTACACAATCGACGGCCGACTACTTGCAGTACAAAACGCTTAGGAACCTTTGTATCCTGAAGAAGCGGGAGAATCGCCAAAACTACGAATTACAGTTAGCTGTGCAGTCCAGGTGCTCCCCCAAAATGTTCTTCTCATATCTGAAAAGGGGTACCAAAGGTGGTAATGGCATTCCATCTCTGTATTCCAGTGAACACGCTGCCTTACTTCAGGAGGATGCTGCGAAAGCGGATCTCTTAGCTCAACAGTATTCATCCGTTTTTACAAATGAAACTCCGTTTTCTGACGTAGTACTCCCATGCTCATCTTTGCTGGATCATCTCGAGATCAGTACGGAAACTGTTACTCAATTCCTTCTTCAGTTAGATCCGAACACCTCGCCCGGTCCTGATGGCCTGCACCCACTGTTTCTCAAGACCGTGGCTAAGTACATTGCAGCCCCAGCTTGTCATGTGTTTCGTTGCTCTATTGAATCCGGACGCCTTCCATCAGCCTGGAAGCTGGGTATTGTCAAGCCCATATTTAAAGGAGGGAACCGCCAAGACCCAGCAAACTATCGTCCCGTTTGCCTAACATCAGTAATGTGTAAAATTATGGAACGGATTCTCAAGGGAGCTCTCAGCCTTTACTTCGAAGACCGGAATGTGATTTCTACTGCTCAGCATGGCTTTCGTAAGTCACGCTCGTGTACCACCAATTTGTTAGTTGCCAGAGAGAAATGGGCGAACTCTCTGGATGCTGGCAAACGTATGGATGTTATCTACGTAGATTTCAGCAAAGCGTTTGACAAAGTTCCTCACGAGCGGCTTTTGTTCAAACTTCAAGCAATTGGTGTCTCTGGGATGGTTTTGTCGTGGATTTCGGATTTCCTTTCAGACCGAATTATGCGAGTTAAGGTCAACAATACGTATTCACCCTCCGTCCTTATGAGCAGTGGCGTTCCTCAGGGCTCTGTTCTTGGACCAGAGTTGTTCAAATTCTTCATTAACGACCTTCCTTCAACCCTCCGGACCGAATGCTTGATCTATGCAGATGATTTGAAGTTATGGATGGAGGTAACCAGCGCTGAGGATGCTGACCGCCTCCAAAATACACTAGATCGGCTGCACGATTGGTCTCTTAAATGGCAGTTGCCTATAAATCGCGATAAATGTTCTGTACTCCCCACTGGTGCTACTGAACCATTCGGTGTTCACCACCTTGGTGGTTATTTGCTTAATGATGTGAAACAGGAAAGAGACCTTGGTGTTATAGTATGCTGTGATCTAAAAACCACCCAAGATACTTTGAAGAAGGTTGCTGCGGCTAACAGACTACTGTGTTCTATCCGAAGAGCCTTCTCACGATTGACGCCGGAGCTCTTCAGACTTATCTTTTCCTCCCATGTGCGTCCAATCCTCGAATATGGATTACCCGCAGTTCATCCACTTTCAAAGCTTGAACATGGCTTGATTGAAAAAGTTCAGCGACGCGGTTCTAAGTATGTCTTTGAGTTCCGACACCTGCCATATCACCTTCGTCTCCAGCATTTGAATATGTTCTCCTTGGAATATCGGCGTCGCCGAGGCGATCTGATCTACGCTCGGCGCATTCTGCGAGGCGAGATAGGAAACGAGCTCCAAGATTTCTTCCAGGTTAACACCGAGTGTTCGACTCGGGGCCACTGCTGGAAACTGTTCAAACCTAGGAGACTCAGACTTCGCTCTGATTTTACACTATCGACTCGTGTGGTGAACGACTGGAACTGCTTGCCTAATTCCATCGTCAACGCACATACGGAAGAATGTTTTAAACGATTGTTGGATTTATACCTCTTGAATTTGCAGGGATCTTGTTGTTTTTTATGTAACTGTGACAATTTAACTTGTTAATTGCTGTTGCGCCAACACCTGCTATGATTGGGAGGTGATGGAGCTGACAAAGGTCTTTCCTTCTGCTCTCTATAATACAATACAACAATGAATGATTCTGCGCTCTACAAACCAATAAACCCGAAAAAGGAAAAATTGGCAAACAAAATGAAACACAAAGATCGGTTGCGCGGCCTTACCCCAGAGAGAAAGGATGTCACTTGCTGTGTGTGACGACATTCTTGCGAAAAAGTTTAGTTAAATATAAACAAAACCCAGATTTGCTGCAGCGATGCTCTAGCGCTCTGCGAGAGCGTCTAGTTCACAGGAAACAGCTGATTGCAACCTTGGGAATAGCTGTTGGCGCGTCTCTACGAATAACATTCCACTAGAGGCGCTTAAGTAAACGCGGCATTAATCGCATAAGCGTTCATACATATATATAGCATTTTCATCTTTTAGACATTTCTTATTTCGTTTCCATATGCTTCTTGTATAGTTGTATTAAATGACTTCTGTAGAGAAGAATCGGAAGCTCTGGCGCGCGTTCAAAGTTGAATCGTTGCAATAACAGCGCTCTCTTTCGTTTGCCTTTCAGAGCGCCTTTCCTGCTCAATTACCGGAGGAGGACAAGAACACAACGACATTGGTTAACTGTAACTTCC